GGGCGTTCAACAGATTCGTCCCGCCGCCCGTGGTGAGCGCGGCCAGCGCGGAGTTGAGGGCATCGATGGCCGACTGCAGGCTGGTTTCCGAAGCCGACAGCTCGGCGGAAGTCGCAAAGGGCCCGGCGCCCTGCAGGGCCAAAATATCCGCGTCGTGCCCGTCCAGTCGGGCGTCCCGTACGGCCAGCAAGCTGTTGAGCCCGGCGGTGTCCGTGTAGCCAGCGAGGGCGGTGGCCAGCGCCGACGCCACATCGGCTGCCGACTGGAGGCCGGCAGCCTGCAGCGCGGCTATGGCTGCCTCTGCAGCGTCGAGCCTGCCGTCTCTGATGGCCAGGGCTGCGTCCAAGGCCAGTTGCTGCACGTAGGTCAGCAGCTCCGTCGCTATCTTCTGGTCCACGTCCGCTGGGGTCGTCCTCAGGGCAACCGCCGCGTTCAAGTCCGTGGTGTCTGTGTACGGCAGCAGCGCCGTGGCAATCTTCTGGTCTACGTCGGCCGCCGTCTGTCGCGCAGCCACATCCACCGTGAGCTGGTCCGTGACGGTCTTCAGCCCGTAGGTAGCTGCCACGGAGGCCAGCACCGCGTTGTCCGCGCTCGCAATTGCCGAGTTCATGGCTGCCGTGCTGGGGCGGTTGGCCAGCTTCAGGTCCACCGAGGCCGGCGTGCTCTTGCCGTTGACCTCGACTTGGAGGGCGTCCAGGGCCGCCTGGCTGGCCTTCCCCGCCAGCCCGGTGGTGAGGCTGGCGCTCAAGGCGGTGACGGCGGACTGGTTGGCCGCAATCGAGCCTTCCGCAGCTGCAAGGTCGGCGGCCAGGGCGTAGGGTGCCAGATCCGGCGCAGCAGGCAGGCCGGCCAACTTGTGCTTGCAGAGCTGCGACGGCTGCGGAGTTGGTGCCGATGCTGGCGGTGTTTGTGGCCGTGTCTGTGAGGGGAGTGTACGCGGTGAGCACCGTCGCTAGCTGGCCTGCGGTGATGCCACTCGTTTCGGTGGTCTGCCCATCGTTTAAGATGTTGCCGGTTATGGTCGATTCGAAAAGCATTTTACACTCACTGCTCGGCGAGCCTTGAGGCAGCAGATCAGTCCAGCACGGACACGCCCGAGCCCGAAAGCGTCACGATCTGGTAGCTGATGAGGTGAATGTAGAGCTGCTGGGCGCGGTCCACCTGCAGATTCTTGAATGTGAACCTGGCAAGGTCGCCGGAGCGCGTTGAGATGCCGCTCAGCGGGTGCTTGGGCACGCGTTCCACCGGGAAGGCGGCGATGAACTGAGTGTCTTCGTACTCAAGCCGGTTGAGGCGCATATTCTTGATCTTGGAGTCGTAGGTGCCCGCCATGATTTCGAGGAAGTGGTGATGCTCCGCCAGGCTGGCCATGGGGTACCTGGGGTATTGGAGGGCGCCCAATTGCATCTGCGACTCCAGCTGCCCGTTGATGGCCGGGTATTCCAAGTTCATGACCTCGCCCAGGGCGTCGTCGTCGTCCTTGAAGGTCACGAAGGCTCCCATGAGCTTGGTGTAAGCCCTCGCAACGGTCACGCTGTGCTGCGTGCTGCCGGAGACCTGCGTGTGCATGGTGGGGTACGAGAAGACCAGGCTGCGGCCCGAGAGCAGCACCTTGTTGAAGCTCTCGACTAGAGCCGAGTCCAGGGTGACCTGGCTCGCAAGGACCCGCACGTTCTCGATGCTGTAGCTCGTGGAGCCGGCCCCTCCAGGCCACAGTGCGTCCGCAGCCTCGGCGAACTCGATTTCCAGCACCAAGTTGAGCTGCGGCGGCAGCATCTTCCCTCCTTGGAACAAGCCGACGAGGGTCGGGGGCATGAGCACGTCCCGGAAGTTCCCGTCGAGGATGGCCGGCGGGTTGCCCAGGTTCGTGGGATAGAAGCCCTCGTAGGCCCTGCCGTTGTACCACTCCTGCGGCTTGAGCAGGCTGTAGAGCCAGCAGCAGCGGCCGTAGTCCGTGATGTCATCGGTGCGCTGGCCGTTGCTGAAGAGCTGGACGCGCTTGATGAAGCAGCTCCCCTCGAAGGAGCCGGGGAAGACCTGCCCCCCGCCTCCGTCGGTGTTCCGGACCCTGAACGCGATTTTGATGCTCTCAGGGTCGATAAAGTCCATGCCGCTGGTCAGCGGGATTCTGGCCACTCGGCTGGTGGTGGGCGTGAAGGTGCTCAGGGAGCTCGGGAAGTACTGCACGTCCCTTTTCTGCTCTGAACGTAGTTAACGTTGCTGGTCGCCAGCTTGTAGTCCAAGCTCTGCATGAGCTCATCCTGCACGGCCTGAGTGACGTTCTCCATTGCACTTGCTTTCTACCTTA